GCACTGCATTGAATATCTTGGCTTATAATAAAAATTAAAAAATCCAAAATATTTAGCTAAAACAGTAATGCTTTTTATGCCAGTTTGCCCATAAAGTAAAAATTTAACCATATGGAAAAAATACTTTTCCAAAATTTCTGAAACTAGAGGTGTGAAACATAATTCATTCTCAGAATTATCTGTTTCTGTGATGGCACACTCATGTATGAGGGATTATTCTGATAGAAGACATCTTTCGTGCCTTTCTAAATATGCAGGCTGGGAGATCTGATGTTGTTCAGAGACCTTGAAAACCTAAAACCACTTACTACCCAGGTTTCAAAATGATTTGATGTTTCTCTTGTCTTTCATACTTGTACCTTCTCTCTTTAGTTTACTTCATGGAATATTCTAGTGTGTGAAGATAAAGTTCAGCTCAAGACACCTTGTAAAACATTCTTTGTAACCAAGGCTTCTGTTTGTCCAGTGTCAATGGCAAGAATTGCTGCAAGTAGTCCAAGCCCTGTCCTGGTTTAATGCTATCTCCTTCCTTATAAGATATATGTATGATGACTAATTTTGTTTTGTCAGCTTGACACAAGCTGGAGTCATCTGGGAAGAGGGAGTGTCAACTGAAGTGTTGCTTCCATTGGTTTGTCTTTAAGCAGGTCTGTTGGAGTATTTCCTTTATGACTGACTGATGTGGGAGGTCTAACCCACAGTGGGTGGTGCCACCCTGGGAAGGTTGTCCTGAGTGTTATAAGGAAAGAAGCAGGGCAAGTTGTGGAAAGCAAGGCTATAGCTGAAGTTTTCCTGTGTCCACCTGGCTCCTGCAGCCACTCAGACCCAAGTAAACACACAGAAGCTTTTTTACTTACAAACTGTATGGCCATGTCAGGCTTCTTGCTATCTAGTTCTTATATCTTAAATTAACCCATTTCTATTAATCTATAAGTTGCCAAGTGGCTTGTGGCTTACCGGTACTTTTACATCTTGCTTCTCATGGTAGCAGTTAGCAGCGTCTCCTGACTCAGCCTTCCACTTCCTAGACTTCTCCTGCTTATCCTACCTATACTATACTTCTTGCCTAGCTATTGGCCAATCAGCGTTTTGTTTATCAATCAATCTGAGGAACACATTCACATCATACAGAAAGACATCCCCACCACAAGGCAGTAAGCGGTATTCTTCCATGGCCCTTGCTTCAGTCCTGACTTGAGTTCCTACCCTGCCTTTCCCCCATTGATAGAAGAGTATGCCAAATAAAGCCTTTCTTATCCAAATTGGCTCTGTCAGTGTTTTATCAGTGCAAGAGAATACAAAATAGAACAATGTACCACTAGATTTCTCAGTTTAATTGTGATATTTAATTTCTTACCCACTCATACATAGTGGAATAAATTAGTTTATGCAATATTCTTAGGAAGTGTTCTTAGCCATGTTTGATAAGATCCATACATGATGGTCTAACTTACTGAGAAAGAAAAAAAATATGCGGAGTTGCTCACTCCTTAAAATCCCCCCCCTTGTATAGTGTGGTGCATGTCTGTTTTCACATGTGCATAGGTCCATGTGTACACAGCACAGGTCAGAGGTGGATATCAGGTGTCTGACTAGATGAATCAATCCTTAAGTCCTTGAGGCACAGTCTCTCACTGAACCTGAAGCTTGCCATTTCTAGTAGTATGACAGATCAGGGAGCTACTGGGGGCCGTCTATTATCCATCTCCTAATGCAAAGCTGAAATCAGTATGGCTATCCCTGGCTTTACTCAGGTGCTGGGGTCTAGTTGATGCTCATGCAGAAAGCATTCTTATCCACTGAGCTATTTATTCAGGTCCTTCTCTTTCCTTTTTCACTATCACAAATGGTGAATAAATGAACTCCGAGGTTTACTTGACAAGATCCCCTTTGAATCTTTATGAAAAAACAATCATATCAGTAAATAATTTCCAGGCAAGTTCTTGAAATCTCCACATAAGATAATTTATTTATTCCAGTTGATAAGGCACTAAGATATTAGCAGTTTTCACTCAGATACATTCGAAATAAAAAATCCAGCATAAATAAACATAAAAAAGGCTAATATGTTTTGTTTTGGTAGACATTTTCTTGAGACATATGCATGTAAGCTAAAATTATATAGGATGTGAAGGAGCAGTGAGGCTGAAATATGGCTTACTTCATATGGATAGAAAATGTTGGGAAAAATATTTCTCAGGTTTGGAATATGTCCTTGCTATAAATTTTAATCATGTCATCTCACTTGAAGCTTAAGACAATGCTGGGCTATTTTTAAAAGCAGTCTTACTACTTTGATCAAATGGGCAACACCGGAACTCTTTTATAGCCTCTTTTCTCCAGAATTAACTAAATACAAGTAGTTTCATGAATATGTGCTTGCTTTTATTTTTTAATGTCTCCTAAAGTGAATCACTTGATAGCTATTTTCTCATGACAGTATATGCTTAAAACATCTTCTTTTAATTAGCCAACATCAGAAATGAGACTTGTGTGACTATGGCAATCTCAAAGCCTTCTTTAAAGATAAAAGGACAAATAAAGTTATGAAGAATAAAATAGAAATGTTTCCCTGTCCCATTCTAGTCAATTATGAATTGATGTAAATCTGCATGTTATTTCTCAAATATTCCCCAGAACATCTCAGTTACCTGAGTGTTCTGCTCAGGGTATCTGCTCCTGTCTCTGTGTACCTACCAGGATTCATCATAAGATTATCTTAAAGCAGTATCAAAGCTTTAACTTTCTTCAGTGATCACATTTTCTCTTCCCATGATAGGTCACTTATTGGATAGCAAAACATTACCTTGTCTTCCTTATCAAAAGCCTGCTTATTCTCATTTACTCCTGTGCTCTAATAATTGTTGTGTACATAGAATGTATTTGACATGACCAAGAGGCTGCTTATTTACAAGTCTGACAAGAATCTCACCTTACTTTAATGTGGTGATATATAAAATTAACCAATTTTGTAAATCTGTATGGCAATCTGTAAATGTATACAGTAGGTGCTGTGAAAAATTGACCAATGAAAATGAGTTTTGTTCATCATATAGTTGATAGTTTTTCATAACTTTAAAATAATCTGCTAAAATATTTTGGTCCTATAAAATTAACCTTTTATTTGGTATTCAGAGATATTTTAATGAGTAGAAAATATTATTGCATAGAGCAAGGCAAGATATTACTAATGTCATTGAATTACAGTACCATTTCACTCCTCTCTGTCAGTTATATTAGCCAACTTATAATACTGTTGACTATTCTGTTGAATTTCCTTCCTTCAGTTTTATTTTTCATAGCTTCTATTTTTCTTCTCTTACACAACGCTAACAGAATTTTTTCATATGTGGCTTTGTATGATTGCTGAATTCCAGTAGCCTCAAACAGTCATAATGTTCATTACCTTCTTGTGATGATATGAGCAATGATGTGACAGTAAAAATCAAATATGGACAATGTGGAACCTTCACAGTTCAATTTCAGCTTCCAACATTGTGTCCTTGAATATAGAACTGGAAAAACCAATAGCTGCAGCACAGAATTTGATATTAAGTGAAACAAAAATTAGGCAAGTTTTAGTGAAAGGTCCACTCACAGATAAAACATGTTTGTGAAATAGAATGTTTTATACAAAATGATGATGATGATGATGCTTTCTTCATAAAAGAACTGGTGTATTTTAACACCTGAAAAGTTGAATTTGAGGGAGGGAAAAAGGATTGCATATGGTCATAGAAAACAATATGACTCTCTCTCCTGGTCTTAAGGGTCGTTCATTCTGTACACACCACCCAAGATTTCTTTCCTTTTTGTAATGATCTATTGATATCTTATCTCATTTTCCTCCTTCCTTCCTTCCTTCCTTCCTTCCTTCCTTCCTTCCTTCCTTCCTTCCTTCCTTCCTTCCTCCCTCATCTATCTCCCTCCCTCCCTCCCTTCCTTCCTTCCTTCTTTTCTTCCTTCCGTCATTCCTCAATCCCCTCCCTTCATTCTTTTCTTTTCAGTATGGCCAGAAATTCTCTCACTCCTTTCCTCAAGAGATGCATTATAGAGTGAGAATAACATATGTTTATGATTATTTTGAAGATTAGTGACTGGTGGAAATGAATACTATGTGGCTTCTGATCCCAGTGTATAAACAGGTCCAGAGTCCCTGCCTTGTGTTGCTAAGATCTCAGGTTTGTAATACCTAAATGTAGTATAAGAGTTTTTGTCATGCTACAGGCTGGTAAATCACTTAGTAGACAAGGTACTAATCCCTAAAACCAGTGACCTGAGTTTGATGTTGGGAACCCATATAAAAATGCATAGAGAGGGGGCCTGGGGAGATGGCTCAGAGGTTAAGAGCACTGGCTGTTCTTCCAGAGGTCCTGAGTTCAATTCCCAGCAACCATGTGGTAGCTCACAACCATCTGTAATAGGATCTGATGCCCTCTTCTGGTGTAAATGAAAATAAAGCATTCATATATATAAATAAAAAAAAATTTTAAAAAAATGCATAGAGAGCACTGAATCTATAAAGTAGTCCAGTGACCTCCACAATAACAATGTGTCATATGCACTCACGCATTCATTTGCACAATGCTAAACAAACCAACAAAAATAATAAATACTAAGCTGGAATTATTGGTCCTCAGATATCCATTTCATATACACCTTCCATCTTTACCTATTGAATGGATTAGGGATGAATTTATATTTCCATTTTCATATAAAATGAACATAGATATCATATGCTATAATTACAGACTACTCTAAAAAGTGATTTTAAAAGGTGATACTTTCTTCATTTGGGCTGTTGTCTGCTCATCACAGTGGTTTCTCCTTGCTAATACCTTTACATATCTCTCCATTTGTCAGCCTTGTTTGTTGGCTTGGGGTTATCAGTTTGTGGCAAATAATGGATGTCGGAAAGATATAAGAAAGCATAAACCTGCAAGGATTCTGAACATCAAGGCTAGAAGTGACATGCTCTTTCTTGTCCTCTATTGCATCAGGTAAAGGAGTCATTTGGCCAGCCAAGTACTGAGCCATGAAAAGAGTATTGATGGTACAAGGACTTGGAATCAGAATCTCTAGTTTTTATCTACCATGTGGTGGTAATTTTGGGGACTACTTAAGAAAATTGAATTACAGAGGCTGACTAGATTTTAAGGTATGGACACCTGGATGAAATGCAGCTACATAGATATTTCCCCATTATATTAATATACATATACCTAAATAAAAAGTATTTATAGCATTGACCTTATACTAGGATAATAAGGTCTGGTTCACAGTTCAGAGGAAAAATACTCCACACTGATTAGCATAGTGGATGTATTAACTGATAGTCTAAAAAGTTGTCAATAAAGGGCTTCTCTTTTCCCAAAATTTCCTTAGCATTTGATGTGTAATTTCTTGTTAGTCATTTTGACTGTGGTTAGATGGGCTATTATGGTGGTGCTTTTAATTCTCATGGTTTGATTGCTAAGGATTTTGCATACTTTCTAATATATTAGCTATTTTTCTTTTTTTCTTGGTGATTCGGTACATTAATTTTAGGTGTTTAGTATTTGGGGGTAGGGGGTGGGGGTTGTTGCTGTTGTCATTTGAGAGAAGGTTTTATTATGTATCCTTGGATGTTTTAGAGCTTGCTGTGTAGATCAGGCTTGTCACAAATTTACAGAGATCTACTTACCTCTGCCTCCAGTGTGCTGGTATTAAAGGCTTGTACCACAGTGTCTAGTCTGTTTTATTTTCTGCAATTGTGTGTGTGTATTAGATATTAACTTTATCTGATTTTATTCAGTAAATATTTTCATCCATCTGTAAGCTGCTCATGTGCTGATAGTTTCCTTTGCTCTGCAGAAGTTGTAAAATTTCATATACTCTCATTTGTCAGTCCCCAAGTTATTTCTTGTGCTATTTGTGTCTTAATCATAAAGTCCTCCCCTGTGCCAATATCATGAATCTGTTTACCTCTGCTTTTTCCTTGTAATTTCATGTTTTTACTAAAGATGTGGATCATATTAAATTGGAATTTCATAGAGTGAAATATATTGATCTAATTTCATTCTTCTGCAGGTAGATATCTAGTTTTGGCAGTATTACTTCTTTTTTTGTCATTTTTTTAAATTATATTTTACAATACAATTCAGTTCTACATATCAGCCACGGATTCTTTTGTTCTCCCCCGTCCCGCCCCACTTCCCTTCCCCCCAGCCCACCCTCCATTCCAGTATTACTTCTTAATTAGACCTTTTCCCCCCAGCATTTTACTTTTGTTATCTTTGTCATAAATTAGGTGACTGTGACTGTCTTTGTTTATTTCTAGGTCTAAGATTTTTTTTTTCCCCTGGCCTACCTGTCTGTCTGTTAGCCGGTCCTATGTTGTCTTTCTCACCTTTGTGCTTTACAGTCATAGGAAGTCAGATGTGATTCCTCCAGCCTTGCTCTTTCAGATTTGATAGGCATTTTTGTGCATTGTCTAATGGGTTTAGTTACAGATACTGTCAGTAGCAATGGTGGGAATTATTCAGTGGAAAAAGGTCAATTTAATGTGGCTACAGTACTGGAGAAAGTTACAGTACTCCCCTCCAAAAGCATTACTTGTCTCTCTTGGATGGGTGAGTTCTATGGGTTCCTTTCTCAGACATAAGGAAATGCTTATGGGTCCAAACTGTGTTTTTAAATTTGGCTTGCAAGTATTTTGTTGAGAATATTTTCTTTATGTTCACTAGAGAATTTGGTCAGTATCTTTTATATTGTATCTTCAGATTTTGGTATCTATATGTGATGGCTTGAATAAGAATGACTCCCATTAGTTCATATACTGGAGTGCTTAGTCACCAGGGGTTTGGAACTGCTTGATAGGCTAGAAGGATTAGGAGGTGTGGCCGTGTAGAGGAAGTATGTCCCTGAGGGTGTGCTTTGAGGTTTCAAAGGCCAGTACCCGACTCAGTCTTGCTCTCTCTGCCTGCAGATCAGGACATAACTCTCAAAAAATTCTCCAGCACCATGTCTGCCATACCTGCTGCTGTGCTCCCTCCAAAGTTAATGAACTAAGCATTTGGAACGGTAAGCAAAGTCCCCAATAATTGCTTTGTCATACAAGAGATGCTGTGTTCATAGTGCTTCTTAACAGGAATAGAATAGCGACTAAGATGCTATATTAATACTGGCTTCTTAGGTTGAATTTAGTAAATTTTCTTCCTTTTCTACTTTGAGGAATTGTTTGAATACTGTTGCCATTTGGACTTAGTAAAATATTTATAAAAAGTATCAATAAAGCCCTGTCTTTGGAGTGAATTTTATTTACTGTTCTGACTTCATTGTTTTTTATGAGTCTAATTTGTTTATGTTTTCTTGGTTTAATTTTGATATATAATATATCTTTATTTCCTCCTGTTTTATAGCTTTTGGAATATGTTTTTAAAGCATTTCATAACAATACTTTGGATTTTGTTAGGGTCTGTTGTAACAGTTTCCTTTTCATCTAAAAAGTTATTGAGTTTGTATTGCATCTCTGTCTTGTGGCTATTTCAGTGTGAAGGTGTCAATTACATTAATCTCTTCAGCAAATCAACTGTTTTATTAACTTTATGCACTTTTCTTTTAGTGTCTGTCTAAATAATCTTTCTACTAATTTGTATTGTTCCTTACTATCTACCACGTTTATATATGACTTCTTGTTTTATTAATTTTTTTATTCATTGGAATTTTAAGGTACATAATTTTTTATACTTCATATCTCTGATTTTTAATTTAATATTAATTAAAATATAAATGTAAAAATTCCCCTTGTTTCTTTTCTTTCTTTGAGCCCCTCATTTCTACCAAACATATTCTTTCAAATTAATGACCTCCTTTTCTTTGATTATTATTATTACATACACACACACACACAAATTATTGAAATCATTTAGTACTACAGATGATTTGTTAGGTACTATAAGTTTTTCATTAGTTATAGGAAATTTTGATATTCTTTATTTCTTCAACAATCTATTAACTATCAAAAATATCTTATTCAGCCTATAGATATTATAGTTTCTGTGTTCTTTCTTGCTGTAGATTTCTATTTTAATTCCACTGTAATCCAATAAGAAGTCATAAGAACAGATTTCATTATAAATTTGTGTGTGTATGTGTGTGTGTGTTTGCAAAAGCCTGCTTTGAGGACTTCTTATGATCAGTTTTAGATAAGGTTCCATGCTGTTGAGAAGAATGTGCATTTTCTACTTATTGGATAAATATTCTGTAGATAGCTCTTATTCCTATTGTTCTATCATGTTATTTATTTGTGCACTTCCTTTGGTGATTTTCATTGTAGAAGACCTTACCAAAGATGAGATTGTGGAATTGAAGTGTTCCACTTTTATTTTATTAGGACCTATCTGACCTTTCATTGTTTGATTTTATGAAATTAAGAGCATCAGAGTTTTGTTTATATACTTACAACTGTATCTTTTGATAATATTTTTCTCTTTATTAATGTGTAGTGATTTTATATCTTCTGACAAATTTTACTTAAAGTCTGCTTTTTAAGGTATAATAATTACACCAATTTATCAATGGTTTCTGTTTGTTAAGTTGATATCTCTCCCTTGAATCTGAGTTTTGAAATATCTTTGCCAGTCATCTGTGTTTCTTGGAGACAAGAAAATTCAGATCTTGCTTCCTTATCTAGTGAATCAGTGTGAACTTTTTAATGGTGAGTTGAAATGACTTACACTCAAATTTATTGTTGAAAGGGCTTGCTATTTCCTTCCTTTTATTGAATGTAGATATGCTTGGTATGATTTTTTTCTTCTTTCACATTTAATAGGTTTACTGGTTTGTACTGAAGATGATGGATCCCTTCCTGGCTTTTTTATATCTACATATCCCTTTTATGAGACATTTTTCATACGATCTTATGAAGGAGATTGCCCTTTTTCTCTCTTGATGAAGAGGAAGAAGTTTTCTCTTAATTAAATTAGTGCTGGCATGATGTTCATGTCACTGCCTAAATTGTGCCATTTTAAAATATGCTTATTGCCCATCAATTTGAAGTGATATTTTTTTCTGGTGTCTAGTTGCTTTTTTTGTTACTCCATAAAAAATTCCTGAATAGACAACTTAAGGTATAACAGGTTCATTTTTTTCTCAAAATTAGGAAGTAACACACTTTGTGGCAAAGAATCAGAAATAACAGATGCTTACATCAGCTGATCATATCCTCTGTGCAGCCAAGAAGAAGAGGTTAATCAATGTTCTTACTCACATAACTTCTTAAAATACTACTGGACTGAAGTACATGGAATAATTGCTTCCTTCTTTCATATGTTTGTGTATTTTTACTTCAATTAACCTGATCAGAGTAATCCTTTACAGGGTTATTCCCAGACATTAATCTAATCTAAAATTCCAGATAAGATTACCCTAAGGCTTGTCTTGATGGTGATTCTAGTTCTTGTCAAGTTGACAATCAATAGTGACTATCATCATATAGTCATAGCAACCTTGACTAACAGTTGTTTACTTTCAGACCTTAAAATATACCATTCCATAGTTTCCTGCTTCCTGCTTTTTTTAAAGAGAGACTTTATGAAAAGTCTGGTGGCATTATTTATGTTTCTACCTTCATGTATACATTACATTTTTCTCTTACATTATTAATATTTATTCTCACTATATAGTTGATATTTTGACTATGATATGTGGTAACATGTACTTGATGTTCTAAATATCCCTTGTGTTTACATGTCTATTTCTTCCTATTGTTTTGAGAATTTTCACACATAATACTAATGAATAAATTATTTTTATAAATTATTTTAACTTTTTTTGCCCATAGATTCTTAGGTGTAAATTCTATAATGTGTTCCAGACTCCTAAGTATTTTTGGTCATGTTCCTTAATTTCCCTCTCTTTGTTATCTGAGTATATTATTTTCTCAGGCTTATCCTCCATATCAGAGATGTGTTCTGCCTGACCTTGTCTGTTGATTAGGCTTTGTACTCTATTTTATTTGGCAAAGGATATTTCCATTTACACAATATCTGTTTGGGTTTTTCAGAATCCCAATTTGCTTCCTGAATTTTTCCTTCATGGTCTAGAATTTCTCTTCCATTTTACTAAACATTTTGTATATTTTGATAACTTTCTTGTTTAAACTGAAGGTATATTTAATTATTTCATTGATCTGCTCCTTTGAGGTCCTCATTTTGTTGGCAGCACTTTTAAGTAGGTCTCTGAACTCCTTTTTTGTTATTTCACATATTTCCTAGTTTGCGGATTATATTGTTGATGTATCTTTAGCTTGTAGAGACATACTGATTTCTTGGCTCATGTTTTTTTGTGTGTGTTTTTTCTCTCTTTTCCTTCTTTTTGTTTGTTTGTTGTAATTTTGGAGTCACAACATGGTTCTTCTTCTTATGGGTTAATATTTCTGATTACAATTTAGTGTAGAGTTCAGTAAAAAATGCAATGATTTAGCAGCAGTCCTGATATTAATTTGCAGTAAGAAAGATTGGAAATTTCATTTTTATCGCTGAGGAACATCAAAGACAACATTATTATGGTACTGGTTATGGAAAAATTTAGTATCTTTATATTTAAAGTTATCAATATTTAAGTAGAGAAAAGAGGAACGAATGGGTAAAGGGTGAAAAATGGAGTAAAGAGAGAATGAGAAGGACAACATATGGGTCCAAGTTGTAAGAAGTAATAGTGACACTATTATATAGATGGAAAAATGTAGATATGCAAAGCAAGGAAGAAAAATCATAAAATGTTCTCCCAGAGAGAAACAAAAACCCAAATGACCCATTAAAGTACAAATTTGAAAAACTATGAAAGACAAGTAAAAACAATCAATAATAAACACTGAAAGCATGATGCCCTCACATATTATTTATTCCTTATTTGATGTATTTTTTCTCCCCTGTACTGTTTTTCTGTCTCTCCACAGATAGGAAGAGATATACTAGTGTCAGTAATTTAATCAAGTTAAGTTAACTCCGAGAGTTGTAACAAACCTGCCCGTCTGAGTTTCCCCACAGGCACTGGATCACATATAACACTTGTGGAAATCTTGTGTAGTCACCCAAGAATGGCAGGGTTGGTGTTCTTTATTTTTTAAATTTTATTTTATAAATTAATTTAATTTTACATATCAGCCACAGATTACCTTGTTCTCTCTCCTCCTGCGCGACCCCCTCCCACTATCCTCCAGGCCCCCCCCCCATTCCTATCTCCTCCAGGGCAAAGACTCCCCTGGGGATTGAGTTCAATCTGGTAGATTCAGTCCAGGCAGGTCCAGTCCCCTCCTCCCAGGCTGAGCCAAGTGTCCCTGTATAAGCCCCAGGTTCCAAACAGCTAGCACATGCACTGAGTGGGTCCCAGACCCATTGCCTGGATGCCTCCCAAACAGATCAAGCTAACTAATCAACTGTCTCACTTATCCAGAGGGCCTGATCCAGCTGGGGGCTCCTTAGCTATTGGTTCATAGTTCATGTGTTTTCATTCGTTTGGCTATTTGTCCCTGTGCTTTTTCCAACCTTGGTCTCAACAATTCTCGCTAATACAAACCCTCCTCTTTCTCGCCAATTGGAGTCCTGGAGCTCTACCTGGGGCCTGGCCTTGGAACTCTACATCCAGTTCCCTTGGTCATTGGGTGGGGTTTCTAGCACAACAATTAGGGTGTTTGGCCATCCCATCACCAGAGTAGAACAGTTCTGGCTGTCTCTCGACTATTGCCAGTAGTCAATTGTGGAAGTATCTGTGGATTTCTGGGGACCTCTCTAGCACTTTGCTTCTTCCTATTCTCATGTGGTCTTCATTTATCATGGTCTCTTATTCCTTGTTCTCCCTCTCTGTTCTTGATCCAGCTGGGATCTCCTGCTCCCCTAAGCCCTCTTTCCCTCGACCCTTGTCCTTCATTACCTCCACTCACCCAGGTTGTTCATGTAGATCTGATCCATTTCTCTGTCATTGGGAGATCCCTGTGTCTTTCTTGGGGTCCTGTTTTCTAGGTAGTCTTCCTGAAGTTGTGAGTAGCAGTCTAGTCATCTTTGTTTTACATCTAGTATCCT